ATTTTACCACAATAGTTGCATTTTGTAATTCGTCAATCACCACCAACAGGTGTTGCGTGTTCCCAATAAATATCGTGTTGTTTAGGAGTCATTCTACAATGTCACAAATTTCAAATAATTAAATAAGTAACATGCAATTGATTGAAATAGTTTAAATATAAAAAAAATGTAATTGTAACATTTAATTTTACATAATTTGAAATAGAACATATATTTTTTATAAATAAAAAAATAGAACTTATATCTACTCATTTATTATTATAAAATATTAATGTATGTAATTATTACATTAAAGTTATAATTTTTTTGATCATTAAAAAACATTACTTGTAATATTTATTCAATAAATAAATAATTTAAATATATAACATTTGCATCTCTAGAGGAATTGAACTCAATTGCATCTTTGTAAGTCTACCCAATTGAACTACTACTTTTATGTTAAGTTTAAGACAAATATAAATATATAAACATTCAAGTCAAAAAAAATAAAATAACCAAACACACCTTTTAAAGAGTTTTTTTTTTTGAGTTAATTGTAAATTACACCCCCGAAAGATCGTTCGAAAATAGAAATTTATATCAATATGTACTCCCCAAAGATTAAAAATCTCAATTTGTACCATCCAAAATAGAAATTTGTATCAATGTGTACTTCCAAAGATCAAAAATCTCAATTTGCACATTCAAAGATAGAAATTTATATTAATGTGCATCTAAAACTAACCGCCGTCGGTTGTTGCCTAAAATTAAATTGATAAATTATACCTAAATTCTCTCATGTTTGTCAGTTAATCATTTGGACCTCTTCATATTTAGACTATTACTTTTCCATCTTACGACATTTGTGCACATGTAATAAGTAACCCTTTTGAATTGATATTTGTTAATATAATCGTTAAAAAATATAATTTTATTCTAATAAAAAATTATAATTTTATATTATCTTTTATTTTGTGAGTTCGATATATTTTAAAGTTCAAAATCAAATTTATAATTTGAATAATTTTATATTAATTTTTATTTTGTGAAGGGGTCAAAATAATTAAGGGACAAAAGAATCTAGATAAAATTTATCATTAGTTTCCAACGGACTAGCCATCTCGCTGTTTCCCATTGCCCATTGCCCATTGCCCCTTTGTCGCTCGATACATTTAGCTAGCCCAAGCCCACATCTCCCTCGCTGGCGCCAGACTCTCGCCTCTCTCTGCCTCTAGCTGCCTCTCCATCGATTGAACTAGAAGCCTTCACAGACAGTGAAGCCACAACCACCCTGAAATCCTCTTTCTCTCAGACTCTCTATGCGCATACGCTTCTCAAGCCACAAAACCTAAATCCCAAATCAATCGATCAAACTCGATTTGCTGCTTCAAATCAATCGAACAAAGCTCTTTCTCTCAGAGCTGCTTCAGAGCCGAAGGCACAAATCAGGTACATACCCTCTCTCTGTGCTTCTGGGCAAAGCAAAAAGAACAGTGAGGAAAAGAAACAGTGAGGAACAACCAGGACTGGCAATTTTCTTTACTTCCTCCGACCAGTGCTCCGAGATTTACCCTAAATTTTATTGTTTCAATCTGGGTTGAATTTGCTCATTGATGTCTATTTCCGTATGTGAATTAATGGGTATTGTGTAACTGCATTGATGGTTGAATTTTTCACTCTGTTTTTCTCTGGTTTGATGATGAATTTTGGTTTCTGATGGAGAAAATTTGATCAGTTCCTTACTTAGGATAATTAGTGAATTACAGGTTTAGATTTTTTTATTGTTTTCTTGGTTTCTTTTTTGTTGTTTTGGGTTTTGGTTGGACGACTTGTCCACTGTGTATATGTTTATGTATACAGTAACAGGTGATTTTATAATTAGTCGAGGTAAGAAAGTGTTGGTCCACCCATGAAAGTGATTGTTTATGGTCCGGAGAACTTAAATTGTTTTGTTCCTTTTGGTATGATATTGAATTGGGTTTTATTGAATTGCCTTTGAATTGGGGTTTCTTCCATATTTGTGATTGCTAGACCAAATTCAGAGATCATATGGTGATGACTTGACATATTACATAGTATTTTAGATTTTATTATTGAAAGTTAGTTGAAGTGGTTGGTTAAAATAGATGGTGTTGTTAGAGTGAATTTGAAAAAGTGGTTAGTTAAAATAGATAATATAATATTATATATTTTGAGTAGCTATTTTAGATAGCATTGTTAGAGATGCTCTTAACAAAGAATCGAAGAAGATCGTCACAACAAATAATCGAACAATATCGTCACACAAGAACTGACGAAGAAGATGCTTCAGGTATGTCGAATCCTTAGTATTCTTTGGTTTTTATAGGGGTTTGCTGCTTCAGGGTTCATTTGATTTCTGTAATTTTCACATGGGCTTCGAATCTTTCGACTGTTAGTGGGTCTGCTTTATTTTCCATCTCTTTTTTTTTTTGGATTTTTGTTCAATTTTCAGAAAAATGATTGAGTGTTTTTAAGCTTTTACAGAGGTGGTCTTGGATGCTTGTTCTTTATCTCAGATTTGGGGGATTTTTTCACGGAGTTGCCTATTTGAACCAAGTTATCACCGACTCTACTGATTTCGGTCGATACGTACGAAATATCGCCGATATTAGTTCAATTCGCCATTCTTACAATTCACGTAACGTTATCGTATCGTCAATGGCCGAGTCGTATCGGACTCGGCCGATACCTTGAACCATGTAATAACAGTGTAAAACTCTAAAATTGTCCAAAGCAATTAGGTGTATTGCTCAAATTTTTTCAATGTTCACATACATACCTCAGCATAAGTTTTTTGTATTTATAATTTTTTGAATATTTATCAATAGATGCTGAAATTGCACTATAATTTGTATATTTTAATTGCAGAAATAGTTAAAATTAATACTAAATTACTTAAGAAAAAATGAAAATAGAAATTCCTTTTTCTATAATGTGGTATGTTATAAATGCTTACATGGAACATTGATGGTGATAAATATTTCTGGTAGCATCCTTATATTTCATAGTCCATGTGCTTAATATGTTGGATGATATATTTTAGGCATATAATTTTTTTGTCCTTCTATTTAGCATTTTGTATTTATCGGCCGATACTATACCATGAAGTCACGACTGATGTGTATCAATGCTCTTTAAGTTGATGGTCTATACCGCAACCTTTAGTCATGGTATCTATAGTTAAATAAGTAAAAACATACTGGCGTTACCTCTATTAATCGAAAATACTGAGGTGTTAATGAAATTTTAGATTATCCGCCGGGTGTTTTTGAAGTTATGGCAATTTATAACCGGCATAGATGAAATTTTTGTTAATACTAATGAAGCCATTAAAAGGTGTCAAAGAATAGTGTTGTCTTTATGTATCTTTTTCACCGGTGTAATAGCCAATCAAAATTTTTAGCATATATGGGTAGGAGAGTGATGAAAATATGGGGGTTGTAGGAAAGAAAGAGGGAATTGGTCATGAATTGTTGGACATGTAAACCTCCTCTTTCCATATATTCATATATTGAAGTTAATCTATTAATGGAAGAATATTGACTGGAGATGTTAAAGAAATTAAAATTAATATGAGAGGGGTGTAAAATAAATTTTCCTTGACATCTGTGTATATTTGTCTGGCTGTGTATGTGTGTATGGATACATATAGGTAAATAAATAAAAAATGTGTTGATTTTACATCTTTTAGTTGGTAGACGCTGAGAGGTGGTGCCAATGAAACTCCAAATAATCTGATGGGTGTTTTTGAGGTTATGACAATTTTCAAGGTCTATGGATAAATTTCTTTTAATATTACCAGAGTCATCAAAAGTGGAACAAAACAAATATTGTCTTTATGTATTTCTTCAAATGTATTATAGTCAATCAAAAGTTTCTTTCATATATTGACATTTATGGATACTACTCAAATGTTAACAAGTCTCTTCACGTGCGGTGTAAGTCAACGAATATACTCAGACCCAGTTATGACAAGAGCCTTTTGTACTGGGTCACCTTTTTAAATCAGTTGTTAACAAGTGTTCAAGAAGCATCGACCATGTATATTTTGTAGCTATAAACATGGCCTAAGAAGTGTCAGACGTATCACCAAAGGAGTGTCAAGCATGTCATGGAAGTGGTGTTATATACGTGTCTTAAATTATGTTTTTATTTCATAATTATGAACACAAACAAAAGAGCATCGGACATGTGTTGGGATAGTCAAAAGACTACTTATGCATGCATCATTTTCACTATTTTCTCTGCCCTTTTTTGCTTTTTAAAGTGAACAGAATCCATAGGAGAAAACAATTATTACTTACTAAGCAAACGTAGGCTTGGGCTTGAAAGCAAGAAGCAACGGCTTTTGCGCTTGTTGGAGCTATTAAGTTATGAAATTTCATTTCCTAGCTGGACAGAAAAGTTGACACTTTCTGCGGATCTGATTTCTACGGGATGCAAGTGAATAGACTCAACTAGGCAACTCATCAGGAGTTGATTTTGTGAAACAAATATTTATGAACCTACCATGCACCAAATAACCATACTCTCAACATCTTCTAATGACCTGACCACAACCCATGAGCTAAACCAACAATCACCAATACCCTAGTCTCATCTCCATTCCTTTCCATTTCTTTTAGGTAAGAAAACTATTCCAACATTACAATCTTTATATCTGTGAATGAATCCAATCTTTCATCATTTTTGGTGCGATATAATGGTTTGGAATCTGTCGTTGGGATTTAGTTTGTACTTCTTGATGGGCATTTCTTGTATTGACTTTTGTTTTTGGGAGTATTGATTGTCATTGTTTTTTTTGGCAGTTTCCTTGCTTTGTCTTTTTTTATGTTACATAGATGATCTGATGAGAACTGAAATCTTTCCTGGAATGGAGTGGAATGTGATTTGCTTGGCGGTGATGATGCCTGAGCTAGGAAGGGATCAGAATAGCTTATGATCATTGCCCTTTCCTTCTATTGGTTTGTCAAAGTGGGGTAAGAGGAACAATACCAATGCGCCATGGACAAGGAGGTACAACTAAATTTCATTATTCTGCTGCGTGTTTTTCCCTCACCAGAAACAAAGCTAGTGGTGCTACTACAACCATTACGTCCAAGCTCGGGAACCTTCTCTTGGTTGCTTCCATTGCCAAAGCTCTCTCTGAGAGCAGAGGAACTTGTAATCTGGACAGGGATTCCATTCCTCTCTCTGAGAGTCTGGTCCTCCACGTCCTTCGAAGGAACTCTCTTGACGTATCGAAGAAGGTGGATTTCTTTAACTGGTGCTCTATCAATCCCAACTACAAGCACACGACAGACACCTACTCCCAGATCCTCCGAACTGTGTGTCATCACCACCACCCCCTTCCGAAGATCCTTGATCTGCTGACCTCTATGAAGCGAGACGGTGTCAACCTCGAGTCCGCAACCTTCAAACTGCTTCTTGAGTTCTTCATCCGATTGGGAAAGTTTGATTATGCACTAGAAATCTTGGACCATGTGGAGAAAGAATTAGAAATGGGGCCGACTAGCAGCTGCTTGAACCTGAACTTGTATAACTCAGTTCTCATTGCCCTTGTCCGCAAAGGGCAGCTGGTTCTAGCTTTGTCCATCTTCTTCAAGCTTTTGGATGTCTCCAATGTCAATGTCAGTGACACTGGAAATGGAAGTGGTTATGATGTCTTCCCTAACGCTATTGTATGTAATGAGTTGTTTATTGCTCTTAGAAAGGCAGACATGAGGGCTGAATTCAAACGAGTTTTCGACAAACTGAGAGAGAAAAAGCTCTTTCCATTGGACACACGGGGCTACAATATATGTATTCATGCATATGGGTGTTGGGGTGATCTGGGTACTTCCCTGAGCCTCTTCAAAGAGATGAAGGAAAAGAATCTGGGTTCAGGTGGTGCGTTTAGTCTGGACCTGTGCACATACAATAGCCTTATTCACGTGCTCTGCTTGGTTGGGAGAGTGAAGGATGCACTCACGGTCTGGGAGGAACTAAAGGGTTCAGTTCACTGTCCTGATGCCTTCACTTATCGTATTTTAATCCAGGGCTGCTCTAAATCCTATCGGATGGATGACGCGAAAAAGATATTTAGTGAGATGCAGTACAATGGCTTCCGTCCTGATACCATAGTTTATAACTCCTTCTTGGATGGGTTGCTCAAGGCAAGGAAACTTATCGAAGCATGCCATTTGTATGAGAGGATGGTTGAGGAAGGGGTAAGGGCTTCATGTTGGACACACAATATATTGATTGCTGGGCTGTTCCGAAATGGAAGGGCTGCTGCTGGTTACTCCCTATTTTGCAATTTGAAGAAAAAAGGGCAGTTTGTGGATGGGATTACCTACAGCACAGTCACGTTGCGTCTTTGTATGGAGAATCGGCTGGACGAAGCATTGCAGTTGGTCGAAGACATGGAAGCCAGAGGCTTTGTTGTTGATCTGGTTACCATAACATCGCTCCTAATTGCGCTTCTTAGACAAGGTCGGTGGGATTGGATGGAGAGGCTCATGAAGCACATTAGAGATGGCAATCTAGTGCCAACTGTTCTCAAGTGGAAAGCTAATATGGAAGCGTCGATAAAGAATGCACAGAACAGAAGAAAGGATTTTACATCTATGTTCCCGTCTAAAGGTGACTGTGACGAGATCATACGTTTGATAAGCTCGCCTAGCACAGGTATCAAGATTAGGCTTGGATCATGTGGTGGAGGGTTGCAGGACGATGAAATGTCTTCCAGCGAGACTGATCAATGGTCGTCATCCCCATATATGGATAAGTTGGCCAATCAAGTGACCTCCAACAACCCTTATAATCCACTTTTCTCGCTGTCTAGGGGAATACGAGTTCTGGGGGAAGGCTTAGACTCATTTGATATTGATATGATCAATACCTACTTGTCTATATTATTGGCCAAGGGGAAGCTGAGCTTAGCCTGTAAGCTATTTGAGATTTTCACCAACATGGGTATTGACCCTGTGAGTTACACTTACAATTCCATGATGAGTTCGTTTGTCAAGAAGGGCTATTTCAATGAGGCCTTCAGTGTTCTTCATGAAATGGCTGAGAAGGTTTGCCCTGCAGACATAGCAACTTATAATATGATAATCCAAGGCTTGGGGAAGATGGGAAGGGCAGATCTAGCCAGTGCTGTTCTGGATAACCTAATAGAGCAGGGTGGTTATCTTGACATTGTGATGTATAATACCTTGATTAATGCCCTAGGGAAGGCTGGCCGAATTGACGAAGCAAGCAAGCTTTTTGAGCAGATGAGAACTAGTGGGATAAATCCTGATGTTGTCACTTTCAACACACTAATTGAAGTTCATAGCAAAGCAGGACAATTAAAGGATGCTTACAAGTTTTTAAAAATGATGCTGGATGCAGGTTGTCACCCAAACCATGTCACCGACACAATTCTAGATTTTCTAGAGAAGGAGATTGAGAAACTAAGATACCAAAAGGCATCAATCAGACGAGCTACTAAGGATGATTCTTTATGAAGAACAACTCTTCCGGTATGGATGGTTCGAGAAAAGTGGAAACATGTTGTGGGCCATTTCATCAGGAACCAGCCTCACAACTAATCATCAATTCAGAACTACATTAACTATAAGCAATTGCACAGGAAGTGAGTGACATATGATGTGCTGGATTATATTTTATAAATCTGCCCAGAAACATTATGTTATTCCAACCCAGACTGCATGTATGATGCCTTGGCATTTGTGGATTACCTTTCCACAAACAGCTAGAGCCATATCTTGCATTACTTTTTTCTTTTTCTGTTTTTTTTTTCATTCAATCTATTCCATCACTTTGATTGCAACATTTTCTCATTGCGTTCCTCTTACTTATTTTTTATTTTTTGGTTTAGGATCTGTGTGCTTGTAAGACTGCTCTAATTCCTGCTGTTGCATCATCAGTTTATCAGGTATTGGATCAAGAGTTATGGTAGATTCTTTATATGCACTTGTTAAGGGTTCTTTGTTGCTTGCATTTCAAACTTAGCATTGTGACTGTTTAGTTTAATTCTCAATTGTCTTATGAAAAAGTTTGATTACATTTAAAGGTGCATGGAACGATGTCTTATGTAAACCCCAAGTAGACCTAGAGGGGATCGTGGATAGGCCGTGTCTCCAAAAATAGTACCAATTAAGAATTATTGACATAAATCAACAGATAAACAAATCATATGCCAACAATCTATATAGATTGGTCAACGCACCTATGATCAATATGTTGTGATATATCGAGTTAGTATGTTTGAAGCAATCAAACAATCAATCACACAAAATAAGAGGGCACGTGATTTTTACGTGGAAACCCAATTGGGGATAACTAGTCCAAGTCCAAACCTTCCACTATTGATATCTGCAATACAAACTTAACATTTACAACTCCTTGTAATGTATGCTTGTGTTGTACTCCTCCCGACAAACTTGCTCTTGCCATTCAACTCGTAGATCACTAGCTCCTCTAGTGAATGTTAGATCACGCTTCCCAGGAACACTCACAGACTTGGCCTCCTTCGAACCTTGATATTTCTCTTCAGATTTTCAAAGGCAATCTTTGAATTGACTTTGAGTTTGAGAATACTCTTATCTCTGAAGCGTTGGGGTCTCAAGATTTAAGTCTAAATCTCCACTTGGAAAAGCATTAGAACAATCTTTGTTTTTGCAATGACAAGAACAAAAATTGTGTTCTAGATTTAATCTCACAAAGGTCAGCCCCTCTAACTCTCTCAAGGTTCCTTGGTCTTCTTTTCATCTCTCCTAGTTGTATATAGATGTCCTAAGGTGTAATTTAAATATAGGCAAGCCCTAGAACCAAGTTGGAAAGGTTTTCTAACGCGTGCAGGATTTTGATACGCCGCAGTCGCTTGAATCCACGCCTTCTCATTTGAGCGCCTAACGCCACTCGAGCAACAAGCAAGCATGAGTCTGAGTAGGTTTCGGATCCCTGTGCTTTCTTGCTCGCTTGAGTGAGTAGCCCACGCCCAGCGAGCGCCAACTGTTAGAAACCATCTGAACTTGATCCGCATGTTCTCAATCAAACTCTCTCAAGTTTTGCTTGAATGTGATGTATACTTGAGCTTTATTTGTATAAAAAAAGCTCATTTTTCATTCTAAAATCATAAAGCTAAGTATGCATCACATAAATCAAGTCTTAAAAACATTTTTCAATTTAGATCATGGTCCCGTAAGATATCTAGGTCTACTTACCAAACCTAACCGGTGTGATTGCCATGAGTGTTACTTGAATATCTTCATTCAAGTAATCTCAATGTCAATTTTCTTGATCTTCTTCAATCTTCAAAATAGAGAATCAACATCAACCTACTTGATTCATTTGACTCACGAAATTATACCAATTACCAAAGTGCCCTTATAATCTTCCCCTTTGACAATTGTATGACAAAATATGTTTACTATCATCAAATTTATATATAACTCACCAAGTTTTCGACATAAACATGAATTATATCCTTTCAAGACTTCATACAATGTTTTGAGCTTACATTTAGATTACTGAATACAAATTCACTCTCTAATTCTACCCAATTAATGCAGCTTTTGAATGTAGTTTTTAGAAGTGATGATCTGAATTTGAATCTTTTAAGCTCCAGAAACACATTTAAAAAATCAAGGCTTGTGAAATGCATGATGAATAAACAAATAATAAATATACCACAAAAAATGATTAGTGAGTAACAAAGCAACATGAAAATGCCAAGCAAAACAATTGTATCAAGGCATATAACTTAACTCCCCATGTGAACATGTTCTATCATATCAATACTACCTCCTTAATATAACCACCAATTCAACATGAGAAGTAATATATGATAACCTAGTGATGTGTGTTATATGAGTACATCAATAAAAGTTTCTCCGATTTTTTGTTACAAATGACCAATAACATAACATAAAGGAAGAAAAACTAGACATTAGCAGCAAATTAGAAATAGCATAAGCAACTAAAAACTTAGTTTTTCACAATCCACAAGGTAGCACTAGTATAGACATAGGAATCACAAAGATAAGCAAATAAGCTCATCAAAACTTAACCTACTGATCTCCAGTGTCTCCTCTAGATGTTTCTCGACCATCTCCATCTCTTTCAGCTCTCTCCAAGTCACTATTTGGAAGGGATAGGCATGCTGCAAATCATGTCTCTCACCCTAATGATCTAACGGCTTATCATGTCATTCGCTTTCCTCCGTTGATGAAAAAATCCAGGTCTATGAATACAGTGTTTAAATAAATCTCTTGCCCTTAAGCACATCTCCTGCCCTGAATGATAGTACTTGTGTAATAGCCGCATATAGGGATTGAAGTTTCGGGGTAAGGGGGAACATACGATGCATATAATGTGCTCATTCTGATAGGTTAGGAGCTGTCCCCTGAAATAGCTAGGCTAGTTCCTTAATTTAGTATAATAGCGTGGTGCACGGGACAAGAGTATGCCATATAGGGAATATTGCTTTGACTGGGGGTGTTTTAGTAATTTGAGAGAAGAGTTTAATTAGGAAACTATCTATTTTGATAGAAGAGTTTAATTAGGAACAACCTATTTTGATAGGAGATTTAACTTATAAATATTGATGTAATCCTTGCAAGGATGTGGTAACCTCCTTTTCTTCTTTTATTTCTTTCTTCTCCTACTCTTCCCCTGCATCAATTTATATAAGAGCAAAACCTCTATCCTTTTATCTCTTTTTGCTTCCCCATTGTCTACCTACTGTCACTGTTCAGTAAATGTTTTCAGTCATCACCTTTATTATCATCTTCTTGCTGCCACTTGTCATTAGAATCTTTGCCGCTGTGCTTGCCGGAGTATTGTTACTGCTACAACTTATCGAATTGTTGCTGCGAACCCCAACTTTGCTAGCTCTTAGCTGTATCAATCGATGTTGAGCTGCTGTTTCACCTTGGCTGCAGATATGACAAGGTTCTTGTGTCTTCGTTGTCACCTGCTTCCTCCTTTTGTCGCCTCTGCAGTAGAAGCTAGGGCTTGAAGAATCCAGACTTCACGAAGGAGACAAGCTCTAGGTTCTTGATTTGGGTTTTAATAAAACTTTGCCAATGCCCAAAAATAAAGCAAAAGAGGAAAAACAACAAGTGACTAATATTCAAACCTAAGTCCATGCCACCTCTAGAATTTTGAAAATTCAATTGCAGCCCCAGACTTCTTTGAAATTGTAAACACCCCTGCCCCCACCAAAAAAAAAAATCCACAAAGTATCAGAAATTACATAGGTTTGAAATTATCTATTCTAAATTTTTTAAGAATGGTATCACGATATCTTTGTTGGCTTAAATAGAGAAGTTTGGATCTTCTACCCCTATTAATTTTAATTTGAAGAACATATGAACCTTTTCCCACATCTTTCGTTTCAAATTGATCACTAAGTCAAGATTTTGTGTAAAATATATCATCAACATATAATAACAATACCATAAAACAACTCCCACTTTTCAAGTCATAAAAATGATCTAATTTATTAATTTCATATCTAAATTTAATGATAGCACTATGAATTTCAAATACCATTGGCGTGGAAGTTGTTTTAGGCCATACAACGATTTACGATTTCTTTAACTTGTATACCTTATCTTCATGCTCTTTAATTACAAATTCTTTTAGTTGTCTCATGCATAGTTATTAGTATTGTATAATACGCGATATGTATTGTACGATACGTCACAATACGTAGGTAAAATAATACAAATCGGAGTTTTGTATCGTTTTTGCATAGTATCGTCCGATACACGATACGTTTTTATGATACGATACGTATTGGTTGATATAAACGATACGCGAAGTCTATGTTTAATTTTTTTTTTTTTTTTTGTTGATTCGCGGATTCGCACCAAATCGTTGATAGAAAAAACAAAGATGAAGACACCCAAGCCTATAAATTAGAGAATAGAGAAAATGCCAAGGAAAAGGCAACTGAGATGAAGAAGGCAAGAATTACCAATTCACCAAACCCACAAATCAGCAAAAATACCCAAGCAAAAGTAAATCAAATAAATTTTTGAAATTGAAAAAAATAGCAACACTAACCTGTAAATTTCGGAAGAAACCCTAGGTCTCACGATCTCTCTCTTTGTCTCACGATCTCTCTCTTCATCGCTGTGAGCTGCGACCACGAGGTACCGGCCACTAGGTATGTTCTTCTTCTCTCTCTCTCCGGCACCGACATCGCCATCGTCTGTTGCCTCTTCTCTCTCTATGTTCGTTCGTGAGTTACATGAGACTCACGATTGTTTTTGTGTTATAAGAATGAAGAATTACATTTAATACCCCCTACATTATAGCTTTTTACTTTTAAGTATACATAAGTACCATTAATTTAATTTGATACCTTTATTGTTTTTTTAATATTAGTAAATTATATTGGTAACTTGAATAGTAAGTGAAATATTAATGAAATGTTATGTTTTTATGAGTTTATGATTTTTTTTAAAGCATATATATTTTATTATTAATTATTTAAAATTACGCCGTATCTCACGATACATGATACAATACGATACACTATTTCTAAAAAATGATACACCTTCCGATACGTGATTTGATAACTTTGGTCTCA